CTGCCCCTCTCGCCAGCATTCCCTCCCCCTTAATTCACGTGCATGGGTCAAATATATAAGTTCTTTGGCTTCTCCATTTCCTGTACTATTCTTAACCTCCCCTTGCCTTCTTTGTACCTACTATGTATGCTGCTTTTTCCCTCTACCTTTTCTCCCATTATTCCCCCTCCCCTCCCCTCTGTTTTACTACTCATAGTTTTTGATCTTCTTTTTCTTAGATAAGTCCCTTTAACATTTCATATAATAAGGGCTTGGTGATGACGAACTCTTTTAACTTGACCTTATCTGGGAAGCACTTTATCTGCCCTTCCATTCTAAATGATAGCTTTGCTGGGTAGAGTAATCTTGGATGTAGGTCCTTGTCTTCCATCATTCTGAATACTTCTTTCTAGCCCTTCTTGCCTTCAAGGGTTTGTTGGTTTTTTTGGGGGGTTTTTTTTGTTTTGTTTTGTTTTTTTTTGAGAAATCAGTTTGTTTGTTGTTTTGGGGTGGGGGGGTTTTGAGAAATCAGTCTTATGAGAACTCCTTTGTAGGTAACTGTCTCCTTTTCTCTTGCTGCTTTTAAGTTTCTCTCCTTATCTTTAGTCTTGGGTAATATAATTATGATGTGCCTCAGTGTGTGCTTCCTTAGGTCTGACTTCTTTGGGACCCTCTGAGCTTCCTGGATCTCCTGGAAGTCCATTTCCTTTGCCAGATTCAGGAAGTTTTCCTTCATTATTTTTTCAAAAAAGTTTTCAATTTATTGCTCTTCTTCTTCTGCTTCTGGCACGCTTATGATTCAGATGTTGGAACATTTCCCAGAGGTTCCTAAGCCTCTCATTTTTTTGAATTCTTGTTTCTTCATTCTGTTCTGGTTGAATGTTTATTTCTTCCTTCTGCTCCCAGTCGTTGATGAGTCCCCATTGTCTTCCCTTTACTGTTGGTTCCCTGCATATTTTTCTTTATTTCACTTTGCATAGCCTTCACTTTTCCTTCCATTTTGTGACCACATTCAACCAATTCTGTGAGCATCCAGATTACCAGTGTTTTGAACTGTGCACCTGATAGGTTGGCTATCTATACATTGTTTAGTTGTATTTTTGGAGCTTTGATCTGTTCTTTCATTTGGGCCATATTTCTTTGTCTCAGAGTGCCTGTTATTTTGGAAGGGGCGGAGCCTTAGGTATTCACCAGGGTGGGGCAACCCAGGTCATTGTGTTGTGACGCTGTATGTGGAGGAGGGGTCTGAGAGGGAACAATGTAGCTTGTTCAGCTCTTGCTGGCTTTTAGTCACTTCCCCCGCTACCCATGAGCAAATTAGGCCCTTCCAGTGCTGATTCTGGGTGGGCGGGTTTGTGTGTGTTCTACAACCCCGGGGGTCTCTCCAATGAACTCTCCTGTGAGGCTGGGAGTTTCTCCTGCCACCGCAACCTCCACAAGTTTTTACCTCCAGAGGTTTTGAGGCTTCCTTTCCCCGCACTGGAACCCTGGACTGCACGGTCTGTCTCGTTTCCAAGCTGTTCCTCTTAGTTTATCCACACACTAATGTGGGACCGTCCAGTCTGCCAGCTGCTGCCTTGTCATGCATCCTCTCCACCTTGGCTGCCCATCTCTGCCCCTCCTATTGCTCTGAATGAATATTTCTTCTTTAGCTCCTTGGTTGTTGGACTTCCATACAGTTCGATTTTCTGGCAGTTCTAGTTATTTTTTGTTTTTAAATTTGTTGTTGTCCTTCTTTTGGTTGTGCAAGGAGGCAAAGTGTATCTACCTACACATCCACCTTGGCCGGAAGTCATTTTAAGATTTTATTTATTTATCTTTAGAGTGAGGAGTAGGGAGAGAGAGAGAGAGGGAGAGAAATATCAATGCGTGGTTGCCTCCCATGGGCCCTCTACTAGGGAACTGACCCGCAACCCAGGTATGTGCCCTGAGTGGGAATCAAACCAGCAACCCCTTGATCCTCACGCTGGCATTCAATCCACTGAGCCACACCAGCCAGGATTATTCCTTCTTTCTAGCTTTCTTTCCTTCTGTATTTTGTTAAGATGATTTGTGCAGCCCTCAACAGCATATCTGATAAGAAAATGTATAAACAGGATGAAAGGATTCAGGAGTCATTAAATCAGCAGCTCAGCCCGGTCAGGGCTCTGAGTTGCTTCTCTGTGCTTCTCTTGTTTCTCCCTCCTTGAGACAGAATGGCTGCTAGTGTTCCAACATCTCAACTTTGCATAGGTATGTCCAAAGGGACAAAGGCATTCCTCCCCTCTTGTCTCTTTTGACCAGGAAGGAAGCATTTCCCAGAAGTGCACCCACACCTGCTGGTTAACTAGAACTTGAACGCATGCTCACCCAAAAGTAACTAGTGGCAAAGGGAAATGACGTGGCCTACTCATCATGCATGCCTGGAGCTGGAGCAAAAAATCAGCCCTCCAAAACACCCAGAACCAGAACAAAATTTGAATTCTATTAGCAACAGAGAAAAAGAAAGGGGTAGTCAGTTGGCCAAGTAGCCACCATGCTACTTGCACTATGCTAGGTCATGAGAATCATCAATAAATAAGACAGGCACATTTCCTTCCTGTGGAACGTGTCCAGTTAGAGACAGAGAGGAGGGCATTCCCAATGGGGAGGACAAACAAATAAGCTTCAGTCAGCGCCCTGAGGGAAGGGACACCGACGGATGTTGAGAGAGAACATCCCTGACTCTGAAGCCACATGTCACTTGCTGCGGACTCACAGAGCCTATTCTGCATGTAGATTTGAAGCCCAGGCCTTCCCCTGTGGGAGAGGGAGGCAAGTCAGGTCCTGATGACTCAGTCCCAGAGCAACGCCACAGAAGTGCAGCCCCAAAACCACAAAAAGAATGAAAAGGAATTCTGCTCTTCACTTGCACCTCTCAAAGGACATAAAAAGGTTTTAATGTATAACCTGTAACAACACTTCGCTGATCCTCTTCTGTAGCCCCTAGTTCTCTCAAGTCCCATGCGTCAGAACCTCACATTTCTCACAATCAAAAAGAAAAGCAGCCCCGGCTGGTGTGGCTCAGCGGCCTGAGCGTCGGCCTGCACACCAAAGGGTTGCTGGTTGGACTCCCAGGCAGGGCACATGCCTGGGTTGTGGGCCAGGTCCCCGGCTGGGGGTGTGCGAGAGGCAACCAATAGATGTCTCTCTCACATGTCATGTTGCTCTCCTCTCTTTCTCCCTCAATTCCCTCTCTCTAAAAAATAAATAAATAAGTAAAATCTTTTTTAAAAGAAAGAAAAACAAAACTTCCCTCCACCCCCAACCTTCCTCCTCTCTCTCCCACACACCCTCACCCAATTTTTAAAAATTGTTGATAAAATATGTATAACAAAATTTACCATTTTAACCAATTTCTAAGTGTACAGTTCAGTGGCATAAAATACATTCACAATGTTGTATAGGCAGCAACACTATCCATCTTCAGAACTTCTTCCCCACCCCAGGGACACAGGAACATCACGTCTGCCAGCCTTCCCCAGGGTTTGGTGGGAACATGTGACCGAGTGCTGGCCAATGAGCTGACAGCAGAAATGAATGACACAACTCCCAGGCCTGGCCCCCAAACCTCCCTCACCAGCTACCCTTCTTCCTCTCTGCCCTGCCAGCCAGGTGCTCCGGGGAGGGCGTTAGGCCCTGGGGGAGAGCACGGCCAGAGGAGGGGTGCTCCTGGGGCCTTGAATGACTGTGTGGACCAGAGCTCTGCACTGTGACGTGGGTAAGAAATAAGTGTGTACTGTGGAAAGCCAGTGGACTCCAGGGCTCTTTGTTATGACAGGTTCATGGCCTTGATCAATACAGCACTGCAGGCAGCCACCCGCCCCATCTCCACTCTCCTGCTCTGCCAGGCCCGATTGTATCCGCACCAGATACAATTTGTTTAACACGAAACTACAAGCACATTCCAGTCCCATCTTCTCGAGCCTGTATCTTTGGGTTCCCAATCTTTGCTCACACATTTACACGCACCCTTGGTCGATTCTCATGATGTCCACTGTGCTTGTCGTGCTGACAAGGGATTGAGGCCCACAGAAACTTGAGGCCAACACGAATGAATCCCTGTGTGACCTTGAGGCTGTCACTTGACCACCCTGCGTCCAACTATTTTCATCATCGTAATAATTTCTGCCCTGACTGCACCGTGAGTATTAAAGCACTTCCTAGAGTCTCGAGGGCTCCTTAGCCATCAGGTAAACTGCCCACCCATGGTGGCAGCGAGCTCATGCTGCCCTCCCTCCGCTGGCAACAGCGCCTGCCCCCATATCAGATGGTGTGCTTTTCCTCCAGTGCGCCCTGCCCGGTGGGGCCTGGCCTGAGAGCCTCTGCAGCTGCAGAGGACGATTTCTTTCTCCTGAACCACCAGCTGTGCCCCAGCCCCTACCCTGCGGACATGGCGGCATCCCCTTACATCCTCGCATTTAGTTTCTCTGGCATTTAGCTTCCTCTTTGTTGCATGTAAACACTCTCCCAACTAAGGCCAACCATGAGTCCATAGAAACAAAGGAGTTTTCTGGGAGAAAGGTAAGGATGAAGTGGGCGTATGTGGCCTAGGAAGGTCCCCAGTTTGCCCCTCCGGTGCTTGCCCTGAGTCAAGAGCCGGGCAGGAAGCTCTTAAGAGCATTGCTCAAGACCAGAAGAAGCCCAAGAGGCTTGGGGTAGAGATGGGAGGGGCTCGCCCTGGCTGCCCTGGCCTTGCCTCAGTTTCTGTCCCATAGCTCAATGAGATGGGACCAGATGTGGAGGCTCAAAAGCCCCCTGGTCAGAGGGAACCAGGTGTCAAGGCTCATGGGAGTTAGGGCAGGGGGCACGGGGGCAGGAACAGGCATCAGGTGAGGAGGGAGGGAAGGCGGGGTGGGGCAAGCAGGAGTGAGACACTGCTGGAAAAAGGTGCAATCAAAGCGCCTGAAGGGCTCTCCAGGACAAAGGCAAACACTGAGGTCACCACTGTTCCCACACAGCCCTGCCCCTGCATCCTCAACTGCAGCTATAAGTGTCTCCTCCTCAAGCCGAGGGTCCATGCTGTGGAGGTGTCATGGCCAAGTCATACCTGCTGCTGTGGCTGCTGCTGCCACCCACACTCTGTGGCTTAGGTTCTGGTGAGTCTCCTCAGCCCCTCCTCACCGCTCTCCCACCTGGGGCCAGGTGTTGAGGGGCATCAAGGCCATTCCCACCACTGACTGAGCTCTGGCTGTGTGCCAGGCATTTCCCTAGTCTGTACATTATCCTCATCTTAAGGAAGAGGAGGCTCAGAGAGGCCCCAGGGCCTTTCCAGTGGCGCACGGCTGATGGGCACTAGAGCAGCCGTCTGACTCCAGCACGTTCAGCGGCCATGCGTTACCCATGAAAGTGGGTTTGGAGGATGGGTGAGGTCAGGGCGCCCGCTGTGGCTTGGATCCCAAGGTTGCTCTGGCCCCAAACAGAAGCCGTAGGGACCACCTCATCCCAGGCCTGTGCCCAGGGCCCTGAGTTTTGGTGCCAAAGCCTGGAGCAAGCATTGCAGTGCAGAGCTCTGGGGCACTGCCTACAGGAGGTCTGGGGACATGCGGGCGCCGTGAGTATCACCAACGACACTCTGGGACGAAGGTCTGAGAGGGAGGGTGCCGGGTAGGCTCTGGGTGGGTTGGGGGGATTGGAGACCCCTGAGGGGATGAGATGGGGCGGGATAGAAGGTGAGGCCGGGCAGCTGCCTGTGCTTTGGAGTGCCTTGCCATCCTCTGCCTGAAAGAGCCTCACCTCCTTGAGCTGGGAGCATGCCCTCCACTCACGTCCCCCATTTTGGGGTGTCCCTCCCCAGGATGACCTGTGCCAGGAATGCAACGACATCATCAACATCCTCACCAAAATGACCAAGGAGGCCATTTTCCAGGTAAAGAGGCCCAGACCCCAGATGAAGCTTGGGGGCCAAGAGGTGAGGGACAGAGCAGGAAGAAGGGGTTAGCCCCTTAAAGGGGCCATTTCCAGGCCAAGGGTGAGCCCTGAGGTTGCCTGGGGCCTCCAAGCACCTGCTGGCCAGGGGAGGGCTCTGGGGGTAAGCTCAGCAGCACAGCCAGAGACGGCTGGCCCTGAGGGTACAGGGGTCCTACCTGTGCCCACCTATTTAACTCCTTGGCACTCTCTGAACTCCAGTGCCTTAGGAAGAGTGGCCAGTCTGCCAGGTAGTGACCCTGTGTGCAGGGACTAGAGCAGAGGCTGACCTCTGGGAGGCCAGGCTGACTGTCCCCTCTCCACCCTTGCTGGCTCCCGCCTGCTTCCCAGGACACAGTGCGGAAGTTTCTGGAGAATGAGTGCGACGTCCTCCCCTTGAAGCTGCTGGTGCCCCGTTGCCACCACGTACTCGACGTCTACTTCCCGCTGGTCATCGACTACTTACAAAGCCAGATAGTGAGGGCCCGCCGACCTGCCTGAGCACACAACTCCCGGTGCCCACGCAGACCCAGAGTCCCCGCACACACAGCAGCCCAGCCCACCGGACGCACAGGCCCTGCCCACAGCCATTCTGGGAAATGCAGCGCCTCTCAGCCAGGCGCCCAGCTCACAGTCCCACTGCTCCACTGCACCGGGGGGGCCTGCAAACACCACGCCCCCCTCACACCTTTGGCATAAACATACGCCCAGTCACACATTCATGTGCGCACTCAGCCCCACACAAAACTCACATACACTCTCACACACATACACTCATTCTTTTTCACAAACACACACGCTCACGCTCATTCACACACACTCCCAGGCACCTGCCCCAAAGTTCCCACATGGCCCCATGTCTGCCTCATCGTCTCTCCACCTCCACCACAGAGTTCTTCTAAACCACAGCCCCACCCAGCCTGCCCCCGCTGTTCCAGGCCCAAAGACAGTGGACCTAGTCCCTGAGTCCTTGAGCCAGCCTGAGCAGGAATGGGGTTCCCCCCACTCTCATCACCCCCTCACTCTGCATTGTTCCCTAGAACCCAAAGGCTATCTGCGAGCACCTGGGCTTGTGTAAACCTGGGCGACCGGAGCCAGGGCTGGAGCCAGGGCTGGAGCCAGGGCTGGAGCCGGAGCTGCCGGACCCTCTGCTGCACAGGCTGGTCCTCCCCGTGCTGCCCAGGGCCCTCCAGGAGCGGCCTGGGCCTCAGACACAGGTGAGGGGGGGCCCCAGGGGGGGCCCCACCCTGGCCGGGAGCCAGAGAGCTAGGACACAGCCAGGGCCCATGAGCACTTAGGCCCTGGGTGGGGGCAGAACCGGAAGGGAAATGAGCGGCTCTAGGCAGGGCCTGAGGTGGGAAGGGCAGAAGAGGATCCTGGAGGATGCCTTCTCCTGGTGCCCCACTCGACTTCCGCCTGCCATTCTCTCCCCCAGGACTTCTCTGACCAGCAGTTCCCCATCCCCCTCCCCATCTGCTGGCTCTGCAGGACTCTGCTCAGTCGGATCCAAGCTGTGATTCCCAAGGTGAGGCCACCCACGGCTCTACCCCCACCACCTGTCCTCATACACCCCCCTCACACCTCCGGCAGGGGCCAGCTGGCTGCCAGAAGGGAGCGGGAGAGCCATTTGTGCATTGCCCCCACTCCAGGGACCCTGGAGCTGAGGCTCAGGCCCAGCAGGTGCCAGGCCCAGAGTTCATTCAGCTAGTGTTAGGCTCCCACTCTATGCCAGGCTGGTAGTATGCCGGTGTCAAAGCACAAAAATGGATGAGACCCAGTCTTGCCCTCCAGCAGCTCAGCAACTGATGGAGAAGAATCTCCAGTGGTCTCTGTAGAACAATGCTTTAATTTTTTAAAAGGAGAACTTCCACAGATGGACTCCCCTCCCTACCTGTGCCCGACCTGGAATCTTCCAGACCTGTAGGGACCATTGCCCAGGGCTGTCCTGTCCTGAAATGGGGCCCGAGTGAGGGGACGCTCTGCCCACCAGCCCCGCCCAGACCGGCAGGCCGGCTGCTCACTAACAGCTCCCAGCAGCAGACGGGGCCCCTGCTCTCCCAAGTGTGCACTGTGGTGGAGATGTTTTCAGAAAGCAATAGGTTCAGAGCAGAGAATTAAAACAGATGAGGAGAGCCGTTCTCTGTTCTTTGGGCAAGCTCCTGAGCAGGTCCCAAGCTATGTCCCTGGCCACAACTCTCCACAAAGCCTTACCAGGTTGCTAATCCCTAACAGGTTGCTTTCATTTCAGCATTTCTACAGCAAGGTCTCAGACAGGGCGGGCAACTGTGGACAGGCAGGGGTTGGGGCCGGCTTGCACATTTAGGATGCAGGCTGGTGAGAGAGTAGGTGGCAAAAATCAGACTCTGAGCAGAAGGCTCTGGGATCAAGGCTCTGGGCTGAGGAAGTCCCTGCTCGGGCCAATAGCCAAACCTATGTTGGCAGCTGGGGTAGGTCCTTCTAGGAGGGTCTGGGCCCACTGCCACCCTCCTTCAGTCCTCCATGGCTGGGAGCTGTGACAACAGGACCATCCTAGGAAAGGAGCCTGTGAAAAGCAACAACCTGGTCACCTCCAAAATGGGCTTTTTTCACCCTCACGCAAGGACATGTTTTCACTGATTTTAGAGAGAGAGGAATGGGGTGGAGAGAGAGACAGAGAGAGAGAAAAAGAGAGGGAAATATCCATGTGAGAAACATTGATTGGTTTCCTCCCATGCGTGCTCTGACTAGGAATCAAACCTGTAACCTTTTCGTGCTTGGGATGATGCTCCAACCAGTGAGCCACCTGGGCAGGGCCAGACTTGGCTTTCTTTATTGCAATTTACACTGAGTGCCAGGCCACTCTCTTAGAGACCCATCATCAGGGCCTGGTGACCTCTCACGGCTGCAGGACTCAGGGAGCTAGGACAGCCTTTTGAGAAATCCAGGTCTGCTGCAGTGTTCTGGCTGTGAGTGGACGGTTGGGTGGGTGGGTGTAGCCAGAGAGAGGGTTACCAGGGCCAAGGGCAACCAGGGCAGCTCAACCTGGCCAAAAATATTTAAGAAGTGAAGTGATGGACCGCAACGTGAGAGTGGGGGTTAGGTGGCTGGTCAGGGAGAGCCTCTCAGGAGGTGGCCATTAAACTGAGACCCAGAGGTCAACAAGGCCCTGTGGACAAAGGGCCTCAATCAAGAACAAGCTTGGCAAGCTTGAGGAAAGCCAGTGCAGCTCTAGCAGGCGGGGCAGGGGAGGGCAATCAGAGAAGGGAGCAGGCGGTTAGGTACAGTCAGGCCACGTAGGAAGATCTAGGCTGAGTTAAACACTGGATTTTACTCAGAATGCAACTTACAGCTAGTGAAAGGTTTCAAATAGGGAATGGCACGGTCTGATTTACACTTTAGAAAGACCGCTCTCCCGCTTTTTGAAGAATGCATTGGGCAGATGAGAAGCAAGAATGAAAGCAAGGAGAGTATTTAGGTTACTGCAGAAATCTAAATGAGAGAAGATGGAACCAGGAGGGCAGACTGAGGATATGTTTGGGAGGTCAGCTCAACAGGATTGGTAATGGATAAAACTTGGGGAGTGAGGACAAATGAGGACTTGATCATGACTTGGGCTTGAGGAACCAGGTCTTTAGTAATGCCATCTACTGTGATAGACACACTTGAGAAGGAACAGGCTTAGGCAAAAAAAAAAAAAAAGAGTTCTTTCCTACCATTGTTAATTTTGAGATGCCTGTGTAACATATAAGAGGATACGTCAAACAAGCAGCCGAATACCCAAGCCTTAGGCAAAAGTCAGGTCAGAGGCAAAACTCTGAGAGCCATTGGCTAAGGACAAGATTTAAATCCGAGGGAATGAGTGGGATCATCCAGGGACATGGTGTGGACAGAGTGGAGAGGGGGCTCAGTCAAGCAAAGGCAAATGCCAGCAAAATAGCGTGAGAAAGGACAGTCAGTGACATGAGGGGACACCATGGCATGTCATGGAAGCCAAAAGAAGGCATTTGGAGGAGGAAGAAGTGGTAACCTGGACTAAAAGCTGCTGGGAGATCAAGACCAGACATGACCAGAGGATCGGCAAAAGAGGTTGTGACTTTGAGAGCTGTTTTGGAGGAGTGATGGGGACAGAAGCCCAAACAGAGTGAGCTCCAGGGAGAATGGAGGGAAAGAAAAGGTGCAGCCAGCATGGACAACTCTTTCAAGCGTGTCAGAAGCGGCGTTAGCATGTTCACAAGCCAATGAGACCAACCCATGGGCAGACAGGAGACCTAATGGGGAAGGAGGGAGAGGATAATCCAGGGTGAATCACTAGTGAAGGAGGGGGCAGGGCAGCCCAGTGCACAAGTGGATGGGCCGCCTTTGACAGCATGGGATCGTCTGGAGGCCAAGGGTGGGTTCCCAAGCAAGCAGGTGGGTACATTTTGTGAAACGTACTCATTTGAAAGGTACCACACCCATGCACTGCCCTGTGCCTACTCCTAGCAGGGGCTGCAAGCAGGAGGAGGGCCAAGGCCAGCTTGTCGCATGCACGTCCTTTACATGCATGGCTTGAGTGAACGAAGGAGTGATGGCATGAGCCCGCCTTCTTGTGGCCTCCCACCCTGCCTTCAGCTCAGATCTTGTGTTTGAAATTGAGATGGGTGGGGAACTCCCAGCTTTCCCTGGAGCTCCTAGAACATGGGACATGCTGGCTCCGGAAGCCCCCGACTAACCATCCTGTGGGTCAGGAGGGAAAAGACACAGATGTGGTTCCATCTCCCCTCCAGGCTGCTGTGTGACCGTGCCATGCCCACATCTCTGGGCTAGCCGTGACACTCGGCAATTTCAGTCTTTAGTCAGAGCTGGGTCCACAGCCTGGCTCCTATGTTCATTTATTGACTCAGGGCAAGTCTCCTGGACTCTACGAGGCTTGGTGTCCTTATCTGTAAACAGTATAATTCTCAGAAGGGAACAAGGGAATGTCTACAAAGTGCCCAGCTGGTGCTGGCACAAAATACATCTTACAAGGGAAGGTTCCTACCCTCTCTTGGCCCCACCCCAGGGTGCACTGGCTCCAGTTGTGGCACAGGTGTGCCATGTGGTGCCCCTGGTAGCAGGCGGCATCTGCCAGTGCCTGGCCGAGCGCTACACTGTCATCCTGTTGGACGTGCTACTGAGCCGCATGCTGCCCCAGCTGGTCTGCGGCCTTATCCTGCAGTGCTCCATGGAGAATGGCGCTGGCCCAGGTGAGCACGCTGCCCCGGCCCTGCCATTGCCCGCTCTCATCCCCCCCCCCCCCCCCCCGCCCTGCATGACCCCTCCCTCTCTGGTCTCCCTGTACCAGAGAGGACAGGAACTAAACACCTCTGCAGGGCGAACTTGGCTGTCTCCTGTCTAGGCCTCTCTACTCTGCAGTCTCTGCCAGGAGAATGGATACTGCAAGACTCCAAGTGCCAGCTCTGCGTGTCTGTGGCCACCCAGGCAGGGAACAGCAGTGAGCAGGCCTTGCCACAGGCGATAAGCCAGGCTTGCCTCGGCTTCCAGAAGGACAGGCAAAAGGTACAGGGCAGGCAATGGGAACTGGGGACCCAGTGCCTGCCCGCAGTACAGGGTTGAGCCAGGAAAGGCTTCCCAACCAGAGATGCACAGAGTGGGCCAGACCCCTGCCATGGGCTCAGAGAGGACGTGGGCCAAGCAATGATGGGACTGTAATAGGGCAGAGCCCGCTACGGTCAGAAGTGGCCTCTGGTCGAAGGCGTGGGCTCAGAGGACCAGCAGGAGTCCCTCGTGGATGAGGTGTGGGGTCAGTTCTCTTTCAGGAGATGAGTAACACCAGGGCCAACTGGAGCAGGAGAGGGCCCGGCCTTCTCTCCAACGTCCGGTCCTGCCGCAGCCCCCTCCCTCCTCCCAGTGTGACTCACTGGGGACAAACCCATTAGCAAAAGGAGAGGTCCTAGAGTCCCAGTACCGAGTGGATGACAGTCAACTCCCTTCATAAAGTAAGACAGATCCCAGGAGGCAGCTTTCTGCATGGTGCTCTCCTGGCCAATGCCCCCACGGCCCACCTCACGTCTCAAAGACCAGATGAGCTTTAAGATTTCTTCTAGAACTGAAACTTAGGGGGAGGGAATGGTGGTGCCTGGGTTTCCCAACAGAAACCTACACTCCAGCCCATGCCAGCTGCTTCGGGGGGCTGATATCTGGGCACACACCGGCTCAGAGGGAACCCTGGAGCAACCCACGATCAACGGAGAAGCCAGGGCGGCAAGGCAGGAGCGTCCTGCAATGGGCCCGGGTGCACCCACACGGTGTCTTTCTCCTTCCTCAGTGTGAGCAGTTTGCGGAACGACACTCAGTGCAGCTGCAGAGCCTGATGTCCAGGGGCTGGGACGCCCGCACCACCTGCCAGGTATGCCCTCCCCTCCCCGACAGTCCCACGACTTTGACTTTCTTCAGCTCCCAGAACCCCCCAACCTTCTCTGGTCCATGATCCACAGAGACCCTACTCCCTGGGCCCAGGGCAGCCACCTCTCCTGTTTTAATATGGAAAAGGCAGGCTCAGAGGGGTCAAGAGAAAGCCACAAAAGAATGAAAAAGGAGGAGTCTGAGCAGGGAGGAGGCAGCTTAAAGGAGTGCAGTCTGACTTGCATTATGGGATCAGGTTGTTCATGGGGCCGTGTGTTTGGTGGCGTCAGTGAGAGTGGGTGTCTTGGGGTGAGCATTGCACTTCTGGCCCTAAGTCATGAAGTCCCCGTGGCCTGGGAGTGGCCGGGAGGCCTAGGAGGTCACGCCAAGAGCACCCGCCAGGTGGAGAGCTGCCCCTTCAGAAGAAGCCTCCCATCCCCTCAGAGCTGGGAACAGGGAGCGGGGTGTGGGGCCTAAGGCCCTCACGCCGTCCCTGTGGCAGGCCCTGGGGGAGTGTGCAGCCACATTCAGTCCTCTCCAGTGTGTCCAGGGGCCCCGCTTCTGACGAGAACGCAGAGCTGTGCCAGGTGAGTCCGGACCCTGCTGCGGGGAGGGAGAGGGGTGGGTCCTGCTCCCATCAGGAGGGTGGCCCTCTGCTCCCCAAGCAGGAGGCGGCAGCCCCCGGGGCTGGCTGCTCCCCACTCCTCCTCACGGGCCACAGCGCACCCTCTGGGTCTTCAGTATTCCCCTGATCTTCAGTATTTGATGCATTCAGACCAAGGCCAACCTTTCCTGAAACTCAGGGGAAATCAGACTTTGCTGCCCAAAATGTTGACAGAAACTCCACCATCATCTGACCTTCCCTCCGATACACCTTTCCCTCCCTCTGACTGTCTCATCTAAGTCAGAGCTACCACCTTAGGATGGAGGGGCAGGTCACATGCAGCCTCTGTGCCCAGGGGCCTCCAGGCAGGGCAATGACCCTGAGAGGGACAGACACAACAATAGTGGACTTGAAGTCCCCTGTGAGCAAAATTGGTCCATTTTACAATTCTGCTCAGAGCCAGCTCCTAACACAGTGGTCATTTATTCGTTTCTTCACTCACTTTTTGAAAACGTAGTGAGCGTCCTGTAGCCAGGCCACATTCTACCGGCAAGGGCTAGAGCTGTGAAGAAAACAGGCAGCCCCTTGCCCTCCTGGAGCTCACACCCCAGGGTCTACCTCTTCCATCTGAGGGGGGAGCCCAGCCCTGCTCCTAAAACCTAGAATCACAAGACCCTGTGGGAGTCAGTGAGGAGAAAATGGGGAGGAAATGTCTGCCCCAACTCAGACAGGGACCCCCCCGCACAGGGACCAGTTTAATGACAGTCAGGGGGACCTAGGGGTTGGGGAACTGCCCAGGAGACGGGCAGCGGCCTTTCCCCAGCTCCCAGGCCTCCCCAAACCAGGAAGAACTGGGACCACCATCCCTGTTGAAACAGGAAGAGCAGTGGGTTGGCACAGCAGAGGCCTGGGCTCTGGCCCCAACTCTGCTGTCAACTGGCCACAGGTCCGCAGGATACGATGCCAAAGGCGGGAGCCAAGTAAGGACTGGGGAGGCCATCTGCAGGACTCCAGAGCGCGCCCACATGACAAGGCTCCTCCTCAGGCTCCCTCCCCCCTGAAGAGAGGTCTTCACTGCCACATTCACAACCTTTTCTCAAAAGGACTGTAAGGCCCTGACTGGTGTGGCTCCGTGGTTTGGGCATCGTCCCACAAAATGAAAGGTCGCTGGTTTAACTCCCAGTCAGCGCATATGCCTGGGTTAAGGGCCAGGTCCCAGGTTGGGGGTATGGGAGAGGCAACCAACTGATGTTTCTCTCCCTTTCTTCCTCCCTCTCCCTCTCTCTAAAAACAAATAAAATCTTAAAAAAAAAACCAACCCTGGACATTAAGCTGGTGGACCACAAGCCTGTAACTTGTGTCCTCCTTCCTGTGTCAGTCTCGCCCGCCCTATCTGTAACTGCAGCCCAAAACCAGAGCGAATTCCATCCTCCCTGGGTGGGGCATGGCCACTGAGCATCGTCTGGAGGAAGCCTGTGAGGAGGAGCTCCAGCCCAGACCAGCCGTCCCTCCCCACGGGAGCCAGCGCAATTCCCACGGCCCCACAGTGTCCTCCCCTGGCTCCATGAGGACAGCGGGACAGGAGCTGAGCCCTGCCTCACTCCATCTCCATGTATGCAAGACACTAGTTTTTATAAATATTTTGCTAACACTTTCATAAAATTCAAAATTTAGAATAAAAAATGAGAACATAAAGTGCCATAAAAGATAGACATGAAATCTTTTAAGCTTTTTTTTTTTTTTTAAAATCAGGAACTCTCTGGCATGATCAAGGACTGGCAGGAAGGGGACTGGGCAAACCTTCATATTTTAAATGTTCTGCTGCTTAAGATATAAAAAGGGTTTTGGGCGGGTTTTTTAAAAATGCTTTTGTAAGGTGAGCTTCCAACTTCTATATGAAATTCCACGTTGGTTTGATTTGTGCTATGATTTATTTCCTCAAAGCTCAGTTGGTATTGTGCATGCTAAGGATCAGTCCCTATGGTAATGTAACGCCTGTAACAATGCTGATAAAGTCCTATTTTCTTGTACTAAAAAGAAAAAGACACTGACCTTTAAGATGCTGCAAAAGCCACAGCCTTGCCGTGAAGGTAGCTGAGCGGGGGCCTACCTCACTCCCCTCCTTGATGAACACGGAGATGCCTGTATCACCTTTCCCTCTTACAACTGCTTGCAGCCTGGCCCCCGCCTCTCACCCTCCCGGCTCCCAGGGTCCACTCACTGAGGTGAGGTCGTTAGGGTCCAAAAAACTCAAAACATACAGAAAAACGAGTATGTAAACCTTTAGCATTAAAGACCTAAATGCCTGGAAGTGTCCTTTAATTTACAAAAAGAACTTTCATTATATTTTTTTTACTATAAAAGAAATAACATATTTATTGTAGGAAATTTATAAACTGCAGACCAAACAAGAGTGGGACTCACCCACAATCCCACCAATCCCAGAAGAGCACTAGAGCAGAGTGAGTACTTTTCAAGCTGTTTTCCACGCCCCTCTACCATTCAAGCACCAAGAGGGAGCTTTCTAGACAACCTGCTCTTGAGGAAAGGATGATACACACAAATCCTCAGCCTCTGAATTTAAACTTCTAAGTAGACTTTTGAAAATCTATAGCTGACGGTTGTCTTGAAAGTCATTCTTTCAATTGCAAGACGAAAGTCCCATGAAGAAGAGTGTCTTAAATTTTTTTAAAAGGTTGGTTGGGAAGATGAAGAGCCAAACTGAGAAGGAGGGGAGGCATTAATAGATTATCAGACAGGCAAGCGTTGAAAAGAGCTCCTGACAATGGAAGGAGAGGCTTCACTCCGATGGAGCTCAGCTGACTAGCTAATGGGAGGAGGCCTTGGCAGAGAGTGGCCACAGTTCAGAGGGTCCGTGAGACGTGCCCAGCATCCTGCACCCCAGAGGAAGGCAGGGAGAAAGCCCCAGGAGGAGTTAGGGACCAAGAGCAGAGGGGACTTGTTTTTCACTTTCCAGGGTGTGGTGCGAGAACATGAGTTCCTTAGAGAAGCTCGGCTCCAAGGCATTAGAAAGAGTCCAGAGAACAGCCTTAAAGAGGGGCATAGACAGACAGACCTGAGGACTGGCTCGGAGTGACAGAGCTCCCCGATGGGATACAGGGGGTCATTCACATCACCACCCTGAGGCCGTCAGAAATGAACAAAATGGTGGGCCCACAGCAGACCCGTGACTGTGGACGAAGCGCTCACAGATTTCATGGACTTGGAGAGAGGTCTGACACGTGTTGCCCCCGCGGGCGCAGGAAGGTGGGGACCAGGCAAGATGCGTGGTGCTTCGGTGGAGACCCAGAGACGACGGAGAGCATGTCACCAACACTGGTCCTCAGGATCCGGCAATCTGGGTCACTCCCAGGGAAACAGGAGGGGGGTTCAGTGGGTAGCTCCCCAAGAGTGGCTGAGTATTATTGAACAACAGAAGACTGAGTTATTTTCAAATGGAAATAAGAAGTTTGGGGGCTTAATAGCCAAAACTATCTAGTTCAATTATAGAGAAATAAGAAGTGACATTTACGTGCCCTGGTTAATGACTGAGGTTTAAAATCCACAACATAATCATTGTAACATTATATATCATTCCAAAGTTTTCTCTGCACATACACAAAAATAGATATAATTTTTTAAAAAAAACAGGAACGTCCTATATACACTGCTTTGTAAACTTTGTTCATTTAAAAATAACATTTCTGGGTCAATAAATATAGTTATCTATCATCACTGTTAATTGGCTTATATTTTTTTCTTGATACAAACTTTCATTTTTAAATAAATATTATCAATTATCAGTATCTGATCAATTCCAAGATGTGAAACTTGGGGACAAAAATCTACAAACATCTTGACTTTTCATGCAGGCTGTACTGCCAAACTGCGCCTCTGTATTCAACACACCAACTCCTCTCCCAGCAGCAAACCAGTGCCTCTTTTCCACTCCCACCAACATGGGCATTAGCAGTCTTTTACACATTTGCTAATCTAAAATATTAAAATGACCTCATTGGTTGTTCTAATTTTTTTTCTTTTTTAGTAACGTGCTACAGACTTTATTAGCTCTTTTTTTTTGTTGTTTTTATTGTTCAAATAAATGTCTCCACGAATTTTCATTTCTTTCGTTACTAAGTAAATATTTTTTACATGCTGACTGGCCATTTATATTTCATGTTTTTGTGAAATGCTTATGTGAGTGCTTTGCTCAATTTTCCATGGGAGTGTTCTTTTCATTGTTCTACCAGTAAAAATATACTAGGTGTATTCATTCATTCACTGTCCTATAGGTTGCAAATTTTCCCCTACAATATGTCTTTTAAAGTTAGGATATGTTTTCCACCTATTTATCTTTTCCTTTGTGGCTTCTGGCTAAGAAATCAGGAATCTCACTTCTTTCTCATCTGTGGTTCAGACTGGCCAGAGCCTGAGGTCCCCAAAAGAGGAAGCAGATGCTGGGATCATAGCTCTAAAGACATGTGAGCCAAGCCTCTGGCTCAGACAGCAGTCGTAGAAGCAAGCCATATGTCACCCACAAAGGACCTTCAGCTACTGTACACAGGACATGATAGTGAGCTCTGAGCAGTGGTCCCCAGCCTTTCAGGCAACAGTATCAATTGTCAACATCTTGGGAGAGTGTAGAGACAAAATCATTTGCGCAAAAGGATACAGAGAAGAGGCTTAGCATGATGCCATTTTCTCAATGAACATTAGTGATTAACTCCTAAGTGCCAAGCATTTCCTTAGGACTGGGCATAAAACAGAGTTCCTGTCTGCCCTTTTGGAACTGAGTCTAATGGAAGATAGTCATTAGTCATAGAATCACAGAAAAATGGAATACTTCAGTGGAATAAGTACTATCAATTAGCAATATACATCGTACTGAGCATGTGAAGTCAGAGGTAAAAGAGTAAAAGTTAAGAGAGACAGAGCGACTGCTCCTGATTACCAAGGGGAAATTGGATTTGTTCTATATCATGCAGGCAAGATGGACTATGTCCAACAGTGAAGGTTAATGGAAAAACTACAGCAACCCCAGAAGGGGGCAGAGGCAGGAATGATTAAGGAATCAGGCCATTAGGGATTTACGATTTGGATCATGCTACCAAGTCAAGACCCCTCAGCTGAGGTTCAAGCTTAGGGCAGAGTAAACATGGAAGGGGTAGTGGAAGAAGTTATCAGTTACAGTGTTGTGACCAGTTATGTAAATGAGGACCGTAAGTAATTTTGCTTATTTTCCATGTGTTTGTTACACCTATATAATTTGTATATGGTAACCCATTTTTCTCTCTTCTTCCCATTTTTATTTTATAGACAATTTATTGGAAGTTAGCTTTACAACTTAAGTCTTTAGGTAACAGAATATTCAGTGGAGCTGCAACTGGATTTGAGGAATAGACAATTTAGCCATCAATGAATATATGACTCTTGAGACTGTATTTCATTTTAGAAAAGTTTGAAAACTTGCTCACTTTTAAGAAGGCTGGCTGCTTTTATTAGGCAGAAATAGTTTTCTTTGTTCTCTTTGCACAGGAGTTCCACGTGTGAAGAGTACATATGGAAGCTGAGTCATCAAAGAGGTGGATTGTGCCTGTTACCAATTCAGCACTCTCAGCTCCAAACTCACCCTTTTTCGCCTGCTGTGAAGGTGGATATGGGACCTTTAAATTTTTCCTTCAGCTGACACTGAAGTTTTGTCTGAGTGGATCCTGGAGACACACTGCCAGAAGACAGGGACTTGCTTCCAGGTGCCATTGTGCTCACCCAAAAGCAGCATGTGCAGCTCCCTCCCGCACCAGGCTCCTAAAGTGCTAGCCAAGAGCAGCACCATGCACCCAGCAGCTTCACTGGGCATGTCCCTACTTCACAGGCAGTTTAGTAGCAAAGTGAGATGCTGCCCCATAAACAGCTTTTCCTAACAGGTTCCTGGCAGGTTCCAAGAGGAAGTTTCAGCAAGGTCTGGATCTTGGCCTTGGACACGCTATGTCAGCCCCTGGAGAAGTAGCTGTTCTTATATCTGCTATTCCTACCTTCTTTAGAATTCTTTATTACTAGCCAATCCCATTATAGTTAATAATTCTGGAAATTATATTTCCCCCTGATCAAATTATTTATATAGTTTCTCTCTCCTGATCAGCCCTGGACTAGGCTAACATTAGTTAGACTAGACATTGGCAGAGAATGCAAAGTAGGAAAATTCAAGAAACACAAAGTGAAATTAAAAGGACTTGGTAATGGACTAGACAAGGGAAGTGAGGATGGGGGAAGAATAATTTTTAGCTTATGTAACTGGATGAATGGCGGTACCCTTCATCTACATAG